TACAGAGAAAGAGAGGAAGGGATAACCAGGATTCCAGCAACAGTGGCAGAGAGGCCTCAATGAACGGGGCAGACAGTGGAATGAGGGAATAAGGTGGACAAATTATAACAGAAAAGTGGAGTAGCAGACATGAGGCAGAGACGGTAAGCTATAGTCTTTAGTATAGACAGCTCTGAAACACTATAAAAAAAAGGCAGAGGTCATTGTTAATGGTGTATAAGGATTTAAAAGACACAGGAGTCTTATCGCCATATTTAGTTTGAATTTAATTTGTTCTGGTCTGTCCACTCATGTCAGATTTGAGGGCACAGACATCTTGACCCAAAAATAGCAGGTTATACCATGGTAACTATCTTTAGTTTCCTATTAACTTAAACTGAAATCCTGTATTACTTACATTGTCTTACTATGACTGATTTTAATTGAATCTGAATCATAAGACTATGGGTTGGCCTTGGCTGATTTATTTGAATTTGGTATGCTTGTTAGTATCAACCCTAAAAGTAGAGGCAACCACTCTGAAGATGACAGGATGTAAAGGATATCCATACTGGTATTAACTATTAACAGCTCTCAAATCCTACAATGCTTTCAAAGTTAAGTTTTTATAAAAATAGGTAATACTATGTTTAACTATAATAAGCCGGTGTTGTGGACAAATCTATTGAAAATAACAAGAGAAAACATAGTAACTATGGAAGATCATCTATATTGTGGTCTTATATGTCTTATCCATTGCATGTTTTTCTAGGAAATTGTTTTGCTGTCTTGCTACGACTTGGTTTTCCCTATAATACAGAGAGGATAGATATACATGTAGAAATTCACACATGAGTTTTTTTAAAAATTATTTACTGGAACAGATTATATAATGCAAGATGTAATGAACAGATACTCTGAGGAAGAGATGCTAAGAAACCCGAGGCTAATTTTGTAGCATTATGATATAAATTCTAGCAATACTATTGTTTGCTGATTAGAATGACATTGGACTGGTTTCTTGAGTTCAATTTCAGCATATGTAGAGATGGGGACAGCTATCACAAAGAGAATGAGAGATGCGATGGTGGTTATTATTGTCTTCCCTAATGTTAGATCTTGAAGACCTAAAAAGCCTTCATCATCCTGTAATGATTTGATTAGTTCTATAATATGCAATAAGTATTTAAAGTGGGTGAAGATGGGGACAACTATTTGTAAGAAACTGGAGACAGTTAGGTAGACAGTGAAGATCTCCAGTGGACTTGCTTTGAAATCTTTATTTCTTTAAATTGTTTTTTTAACTGTTTTGTTCTGTTTTGATATGTTTAATCTTACCCTCTTTGAGATGTAAAACAAATGTGTAGGACTGATAACCATATTACTGAGCTTTTGTTCGATCATTGAGCAGAACTGTTTGTAGTGTCACTTTTTGAATGTCATTCTCAATACTTTAATTCTGTAACCTGAGCAGCTATTTCTAAGATGACCATATATAACTTATCAACCAGCAATTTCTTACCGTTTGTTTTTCTGTAATTTTGTATTATTTCTACCCTTTTTTTATCTCCATGTATTTTTTGTTTCCTTTTCTAAAGAACCATTATACCTATAGACTTTTCTGCACACACATATAACCCAGGCATATACTAACTTGTGGGAAGCCCTGTAATTGGCTGCCACCTTATATATGCAGGCCGCAGCACCTTAACTTCCTGTCGGAGTTAAGTTTGGTAGTTAAGCAGCATCTTGCCTAGCTTGTTTGGCCTATTCAGGGATTATGCTTATGAGCCCGCATGCGGGAAATTTGAAAATTTGATTTAACCTATAACCCTCAGTCTTGCCACTGTTACTAAGTTACCTGCTGACATCTCAGAACCCAACTCCCTCCTCCCCCAATACCCTATATGTTACTTTTTCCTTGAATAAAAGAAACTTGATTCCATTGGACTTCTGACTTGTCTCCATTCTTTGCGTCTCTTGTTCCCCCTCTAGAGTCTCCATGGACTTACCCACAGGCCGGGACACTAACTATCTCTACAAGTTTCAGAAATGTAGCTTATATCTGCTAGGAAATTTACCTGGACAGCTCCTCCAAGGCTCACCCTGAAGAGACAACACACTCAAAGCCCTGTTCTGGTCTCTCTGGACGCTGGTAGTCCATGCATGACTGAAGCCTGAAGACGTCCTTCACAGAAATGTTCCATACATATTCCTCTTGATTTTTGTGTCTTTCCAGGCTGCTTACCCTAGTCCTTGCTCCCCCACGCCTCTGGTAACTGTATTTTTTGCCTTAAACTATGAAGGGTTGCCCAAAGAAAACAGAGCAATCAAACACTTGACCTAGATCTGATGAGCATCCAAGACACACTGGACACTCTCCTGGATCAGATTAACTCCCTCACTACCTTGCCAGCATAATGTGAGAGACCACACAGGCTTAAATTATGCCTCTTCCTAAAAGCAACTTAGAGAAAAATCTCTGTATGGGACTTTCTAACCCTAACCCTAACCCCGTCATCCCAGCCAACCTCTTATCTGCAGTTGGAGATCAGCCACAAAATAACTTCAGGGGTACTAGGAGGACATTGAGGCAAGTAATCCCAGTCCATTCTCAGGGAGCTGATGAGGATAGTAAGGGAAAGCAAAAAGGAGGTGTGTGATGGGTATCCCAGAAAAAAGAAGTCAGGGTTTTTTTTTATCCATTTCAATTGAGATGAAGATACTTCTCTGTGTGTGTGTCTTTCTCTGTCCCTCTGTGAGTGTCTCTCTCTGTGTCTCTGTCTCTGTTTCTTTTTGAAATGAGTTCTCACTATGTACTCCAGGATGGCCTCAAACTTGAGATCCTTCTGCCTCAGAGTGCAAACCTAGGATTAGAGGTTTGAATCAGCACTGAAGTTTCACATTCTCCCATCAATTTATTGATGTGGTGAATTATGTCCTCTATTTGGCTGCATATTTTTAAAGGCATTTTGAACCCGTTTTCAATTTCCCAACATTTTCACACAAGTGATTTGATTTTGTAATACTATCTTAGTTTGGGCATAATTTGCTAGCTTTATGTTGAGAGGGAATCCTACCTCTTTCTATCCCTCTATGAGTACATAGCAAAGGGGTTCAATCCAGTGACTAAAGCATGCTAAACATGTGGTCTATCACTAAGCTACACTTCCAGTTTTAATGTGTCCTGTGGGGAGCTACTGACACAGGAAATTGACCATATGTGTAACGATGGGGCATGGCTACGCCAAGGACAAAGGGACAAGCCATGTGAAGAAGCTGCTTCAGCCCAGAGAACACCAAGACAATTCAAACCATGGGCTGCTAGGACAGTGGGTGTCATAATAAAAAGTTATAAATAAATGCTCCGGCAGTGAGGGAGCAGTTCTTCTCCTCCCATCTGGAGAGTAAGGGCTCCACCTGACCCCAGATTTGTCTCTTCTTTATTTTGCCATCCACTGGCAGTTCTTCCCAAGGAAACTCAGAGGGCCATGAGGGTCATGGCAATGCTGTTTGTATTTTTCTGGAGTTCTTTGTTTTGTTTTCATTAGTGAAGTTTGAAACCAGGACTTTAACACTGTGCTATATTTCCAATCTTTTTCATTTGGTGTGGTTTCCTGAACTTGGGCTAGATTGCCCAAGCTGGACTCAAACTTGCAATCCTCTTATTTTGTAACAGAAATTTAAAATTCAACTAGTAGCCTGTTGCTATATTGAAATGGGAGAGTCTCATCCTGCCTGTCACATAGACTGCTAAACTTGGTTAGCCTTAACTGTGTCCAGCTGCTTCTCACAGCCTGTCAGGTCAACCGGACTAGGTCCAGCTGTAATGTTTGTTTTCCCATCTTAAAATGTATCCTATTTCTCCAACATGTTTCAAAGACTTTCCATCTAGTCCAGTCAAGGGCACACATAACTCTCCCTACTCCGCTGAATACTCCCTCCCAGAATTTTCCTGCCTTATGATAAACAATTCCTTTTAGTAAACCTGCCTGAAACAAATGTGCCTGACAATGTATGACTTGATTCATATAACCAATTATATAATAAACTGCTATCAGTTTTTTTTACTTTCTCCTTGCAAATCTTATATAAACTAAACCTAAAGCTGATTTGGGGCTGGTAATCTTGAACTGCTCCTTTTGACAAAATAAAGTTTGCCTTCCAACTCCTTAACACAAGGCGTCTTCCTTTTGGCTTGGTACCAGGTTTCCTTCCACAGTCTCACCCTGCTAGGATGTTAGGATTACAAGTGCGGGTTCCATACCCATACTGGAATTATCTTTATTTTATTTTGGTACCAGGAATTGAACTCACAACCTCCTGCTTGCCAGAAAGGTGAAATGCTACTGCACTATATCCTCTGTTCCCCGATTTGGATTTTTTTTTTCCCTGTTTGGATTTTTTAAAAAGACTTACACTGTATATTTTGAAAGTGTAGCAGATCCACCAATTAAAACATGTTCCTGAAAACAAAACTGTTCTTAAATTTTTCAACAACTTTAGGTTTAATAAGATATTTTCTTAAGTTAGTGAACTGTTTCTTTAAATTATCTATTTGGTTTCAAATTTGTTAGCAAGGAATTGTGCAAATCATTACCTCACAAATAGTTTGTATTTATGGCTATTTTTATCCTACTTATCAACTGTGTGTACTTTTGCTGTCTCAGTTTTTGATAAAAAAATTTTGTATGCTTTTGGTTTTTTACTATAGGACTTATCATGTTCAGATTTTTCCTTTGATTTAATTTCTGCTTTTCTATCAAGTAATTTTTTTTCACTTTCCATAGCCATGTTTTGCTTTCTCCGAAATCCTCATTTCACTTATTTCCATTCTTTTCGTTCACCACTGCGGGCTGCACTAAAATTTAGCTAAACTATTACATCGCTCGTTATAAACGAAAGCGAGCCCACAGCCAAGTGACTTTGAAGCTTTCCAGTAGTGAACATCTCCTGCATAGCCGCAGGGCCTTCTGGGAAGCGTGGTTTCCAGCACCAGCAGCACTCTGGGAAATGTAGTTTCCCGTGGTCACTTCCGCTGTTGGGCCGTCTCCGCCTATGCTCGGAGAAATCTACCGTGGAGAATAAGCTGGAGGGGAAGCAGAGGGTGGCCTTGGTGTTCTCCCGGGTGTGGCGGAGACCTGCGATCCGGGTGAATACGGGGTGGGGTGGGGGAGGCAGGGGACCGCGGCGCATGCGCGCCCGGGGCGCGGTGAGGGCGAGGCGAGGGCGGGTCCGAGTCCTGGAATGTGGGCCGGGGAGGAGTTTGGGGTGGCCGTGGCCAAGGAGGACTGCGAGTGGGTCGATGTAGGAACTTTGGAGAGTCAGATCGTGGAGCTTGTGATAACTAGCAGTCCAGGACTTAGGAGAGGGGAGAGATTCCGAGATCAAGCTAGGGAATTGGAGACCTGATCCTTCTGAAGGAGTAGATTTGTAGGGTACTCGTCTGGCAGCGGGGCGAGTGATAGAATTTTCGGCACGGAAGGGAACCATCTGATAGAATTTTTGGCGCGGCTAAAAAGATAAGAAGTATGAAATTAAAGAGGCCTTTATTTTAAGAATGTGGAGAGAAAATCCATGACCCTCTGGGGTCTGGCATTATGTGTAGCTTAGGTTTGGGGTGGTGCCTAAGGGGCATTACTGATGCATAGGTAGCCCATTGGTATTTATTTGGCGCCACAAGTAAATTGCCTAAGGGCGGGAAAGGTGACCTCAAGATGGAGCCCCTTGGTTCCACCTCGCAGCTCCCCGCTACAGTGTCCCATCTGGGGCAAAATCCTTTCAGCGAGTAGGGGTGTGTGTCGGTGGGGATTTATTTATAGGATAATCAGGATTTGGTGGTCATTGATGGGGTTGTATCTACAACCTCGTGTTCCACGAAAATGCTCACTGCAATACAACCTCTTCCAGATAACATAGGTGAGCCTCAAGGATACACCCCTGCCTCAGTAACAGACCCCAAAACAGGTCCTGTATAGTTTCAGTCTTTACCTCATTGGTGATGAGCCGAGCAGCTGTGCTCACTCATCATTCCCAACAAAAACTTGTTAACTAAACCTTGGTTAGATACTTTACTTCCTGTAGTTCCTTAAGCCTTGATCCATGTACAGCTTCTCATGAGAAAGGGCAGAGATATCCTTTGATTCATTTTCTGATCACCCTACCCCTTACCCCACTTCCCACGGCCTGGTTCTTTTTGACTTTGTTTCTACACATCACATAAAAACCTTTTCTGGCTTGCAGAAGTGCTTGCACCTATTTCTTTCTTTCTTTCTTTCTTTTTGTCTTTTTTGAGACGGAGTCTATGCAGTTCAGGCTGGCCTTGAGCTCACTTTGTAGCCCAGGCTGGTCTCGAACTCGCAACGATCCTCCCACCTCAGCCTCCCGAGTGCTGGGATTACAGGCATGAGCTACCACACCTGGCACCCTTGCACCTATTTCTGAGGGCCTTGGTGTGGTCCCTAATTGGTGTCCTCCTCCCTGTTGCAACAGTTCCTCTCTCGCCCTCCTAACCCCCAATAATCCTTTGGAATTAAATCTTTCCTCAGTCTGGATTTACTTGGGCAGTTAAATGGCTGCTGTTTCCGTGGAGGTGAGAGGCTGGGTAGCCTGTGCTGATGGTGTTGGGGTTCTTCTGTAGGCCCGTTTTTGGGGTCTTGCAATTGAAGCATCACAGATTGGAGTGCTGTGTCTGAATATAAGTTAATGATTGTTTGGTCTGATGGAATGTGAAGGGTCAGAGGGGCTAGTAATTGGAGCTGCTGGAAAGGTTTGAGGTACTAGTGTTTGCACAGGGCTGGAAGCGCTTTCAGGGTATGAAAAAAGCCTATGGGGCTGTCAGTGAATGGTAAGTGATCGTGGAGTGGATTAGAGAATAGGACTCTCTATGCAGGTGAATTCTTGACTGTGAGATAGGATGTTGGGGATCCTTTGGGGTTTATAAGCTAATTTAAATGGGCTATGGTAATTAGAGATAGCAAGACTTAAGATGTCATCGATGGGGAGCTATGTGAGAGAGCTGTTGGGGGTGGCTGTTAAGGTGTGTGGTTACCTGTAGGAGAGAGGGATTTGAATTCTTTGAGAACCTTTTGGGACTCATTGTTTGGGATTTGCAGTGACTCAGCTCTAATCAGAGAATAGTCTGTGGAAATTGTTTTGGGGGATTTTTTTTTTTTTTTTTTTTTGCTAGGTAGTTCACTCTGGTATTGAACTCATTATGTTGCCCAGGATGACTCAGAGATCCCCTCCTGGCTCAGACTCTTGAGTGCTGGGGTTACAGGTGTGCCCCACAAATGCCCAACACTTGTGGCATTTATTAAATGGGACCTAGGGGAAGCTGGGGATGGGGTTTTCTAGGAATTAGTACTGTAGGGAGGACCTTGTAGCTCCCAGAAGACTGAGTGACTGACAGCTGCTGTGATATAGGAATGGCTGATACTAGGAGTGAGTGCCTATGGGCCCTGGGCACTGTGTGGCTAGGCATCCCATGCCATGCCAGGAATGAGGAGTCCTGGAACATCATTGACTAGGGTAGAGGGTTTGGAGAAACTTTGGATTGCATTTACTCATATCTTGTGGTTGAGTTCTTTGGGGTTGTTGATGAGTAATAAAGACCTTGTTTATATTAGTGACAAGAGCACTGGAGGGTAATTGGGTGAGTAACCAGGGTCTGTGAGGAGAAATGGTTGGAGGGCTTTGATGTTTGAGGACTCCATGGGGTGAATGACTGGTATTTCTGTACATGCATATGATGGTTTACGGTGAGTATGGTGAGAAATTGAGGGTTCTGTGGGTGTTTGTGAACAGGTGAGCAGGAAGTCTAAAGAGTTCAGTGACTTGTTTGCCACGAGCACTGGGTGATTGTGGAGTTAGAAGTCAGTGGTCTCTGGGCGTCTGTGCTGAGTGGTGTGGGGGCCAATATTGTGCAGCTCTGTGGAGTCCGTGGTTGAGTGTTTCTGGAGGCTGGTCATTGTAGTCACTGCAAGTCAGAACCTGAGTCTCTGCCATATAGTCATTGGGGAACCTACAGTGTGTGTCCCCGAAGGCTCTGGAGGGGTGGCCTGTTGAGGAGAGTCTAGGGGCCTGTATAGTCATTATCTGTGGTTCTGTGAGGATAATGGGGGCACATATGGTGGGTGAAGTAGTGTATGGGGCTCAGTGGTCATGTGATCAGGAGGTTTGTGAAGAGGCCAGTTGAGTTTAGTGACCTGGAAAGGTCCTGGGATGTGGAACTGGAGGGCCAAGTTTTGTGGGTGTAGAGGCAGGTCTGGATGGGCTTGGTCAGGTGTGGCTCAGGAAAGTCTCTCACAGGGTGACTTCTGTTAAATAAGCATACGCATAATGTAGACTGGCCTTTCTCTGTAGCCAGGCAGAGACACCACTGCACATACATTATCAAGAAAAACAGAAGTCTTCATGGAAGAGAACTGAACGATACTCTTCACACACAGTTCATCTTAAATTCACCAATTGTCACTAATTGGAGTGACTGTTTGCTAATTGTCCTTAACCAGAGAAAAAACAAACTTCTCATCTCTATGACCAGGTATTTTACAAGTCAGAGGAAGGTGCCTCTGGAGTTGGGCTTTGTCTTCCCACAAAATCTGAGAGACGGAGCTAGAGATGGTCCCAGCTACAGATGGTTTCTTCTTGAGAAGAATATTGCTCCTGGTTATTAAACTACCAAAAGGCTTACTTATTTAGCTTCAGAAAAAAAACAATTACATCTCAAAGGGGCAGAGAGATAATTTACAGTTATAGGCTTGTAAAGTAGATGACTTTTGAAAAGCAGTCAGGTAAGTGTCTCTCTTTTTTGGAAGAGGGAACATTAGGGTTTCCTTATTTTTAGTTTGGTTTTGCACTTGCAGACCTCTGAACTCATACAGCCTGTGGGGTGTTTGCTGCCCTGTCATGTGTTCTGGTATTGTATACTGGGGGAGGGGGCAAAGGGTAAAGGCCAGTCCTTCATCTTTTGGACTTCTGAGGAGTTGGACCCAGGGCTCACAATGTAGATCATAGGGAACATAGAAACCATCCATGTTCACCACCCTTCTAAGTGGCTTGTCTGATCAGAGTGGGAGGTCCTTGGAGAAAAGCCAGTGATGGAAAGATGTCATAGGATGGCCAGTGGCCAGCCCTGGGACGCTAGAGGCAGGGATGAGGTCAGATGCAAAGGCAGCTACATAGTCTTTGCTGTTTCTTGGCTCCTTAACTTAGAAAGGGTTTTGATTGATCTACCTGAAGTTTCCCTTGGAAACAGGGTCCTGGGCTCTAGTGTTGATTTTATTTTCTCTTTTTTCAGTATTGAAGATGGAACCCAGGGGCTCAAACATGCAGGGCAAGCATTCTGCCACTGATTCACATCCCCAGCCCTTTTATTTTTGTTTCAACACGGGTCTCACCAACTCATCCAGGCTTTCCTTGAACTTGTAGTCTTCCTGCTTCAGTGTCCTGAGTAGCTGGGGTAACCTGCCATGCCTGGCTACTACTGTTAATTTCTTGGGAAAAGTACAGGTAGCATGTGTCCTAGTGTGAGGTGAGAAAGAAGCAATATAAAGATTTCCTTAAACCTTTGTCTTGGGCTGGGGATTTAGCTCAGCAATTTAAGCGCCTGCCTGAAAGTGTGAGGTTATGAGTTTGATCCCCAGTAACAAAAAACAAAAAACCAAACAACAAATAGGGGGTCTTGCAGTACCCTCTGCCACCACCTGTTACAGGCTGAAGCTATGGCTCTACTCAGTCTCAGACCCAACATAAACTAACCTTGCAGTCTCCCGAAAGATTATCTGTTTCATTCCATTTGTTTTTCTGATTCATGTTTTTCTTTTGTTCCAGGGCTTATTTGGAGGTAGGGAGCCAACCTACTACGCTAATGAAACATTTCCATTTAATAGCCATTTTATATTTACCATACTGCCTAGGAATGAGTTACATTTTTACTTACAGCATCTATGCCAATTATTTCATGTAAATTAATAATCCCCCCATCAGGGACCATTGCTATAGAAAGGATGAATTGTTATTATTTCCAGACTTTCTTGATGTCTCTGTAGAGCAGTTTGGTGCAGTGGTGTGCTTGCTAGGAGTGTTTGCTTGAACCAGTGAGGTGAGTAGCTTCAATGCGGTGTTCATGAGTAGAAGCCAGGACGTGGCCCAGCAGTGGCCAGCCTCAAAGAGACATGTCATCTTCCTTCCTGTTTTTTACCTAATAGGACTTATTTGCATCTATCACATATCTAGTGTTTAAATGATCTGAATTACTAGAAAGAGAAAAACAAGATTTAGGTTCCTCAATGAATGACATCATCTAAAATAACATGTCTGCTGTATCTGCAGGCCCTTGCTCTCAGGAACAAGACAGTTCATATGCAGCAAGTGAAAAAAGGCTTCAAGAATGAGAATGGATTCTTACTTTCCAAACCTTTCACCAGAGGACTCTCTCCAGTCAGGACAGACAGAAATTCCAAACCAGCAGCTTTCCCAAGATCAGTAGAAATGATTGAGTCACAGGTGGGTTGTTTATTCTCTTGGAAGATTTTTAAATTTTATTTTATATTACTTTTGTGGTATAATGAGGCTTACTAGAATCTCTACAACAAACAAGAAAGGTCTAAATACATTTAAATCATAATAAGAGAAAATATAACTTCTGGGAAGATGTTAAAGGGAACACAAAGTACTTTATTCAATACAAAGCGCAGGCAAATATGAGGAAGGTGCTATATTGTCACACAGTTGAATTGCAAGCTTTTCTCAGGTATTTCCAGAAGTTGCAGCAGAATGAGAAATAGAAATAGTGACATAGTTTACTTTGTCAAAAGGAAAAAAGCAGACCAACCATTCAGGGTAAGTGAACATACCCTGATAAATACATGTAAAAGAAATGGTTTGATTTAGGTCATGCAGAGATACAAGTACTAAAAGACAGCCCGTAATGAATGAACATACTGTATTTCCTGGGACTATTTCTTACACAGTTACTTTGTATAAGCTATGGGCCAGAGTCCCTGCAAATGGCATATCGGTTAAGGATCAGGTCCATCAGCATAGCCTTGGAGGTTATCCTACTGTTGTTGCTGAGGGAGTTCTGAGTGGAAGGCAGCAGCAGTTTGAGAGGCCCTGGGATAATGAGGAAGGGACCGAGAAGAATCCTGGGTATTAAATTAGAGTGAGGAAAAGTGTCATCAGCATCTCCCTCACTCTATAAGTAGATAACCAACCTTAGCACTGAGGAATGCTTCACAGAGAGACTAGGAGGAAAGATCCCTGGGCTAGGAGTGTAGGCAGTTGGATCAGGACCTTGTCTGTGGCTGTAGTGGAGAATGACTGTATATAAGTTTCTTTGTTTTTTTTTTCAAGTCTCTAATGTGTTAATTTCTACCTTGATCTTTATAATTTCCTCCCTCATACAAACGTTTTGGTTTAGTCTGCTCTTCTTTTTCTAGAAGTTTGAGATTCAACATTATGTTGTATATATGTACTTGCTCTGTTTTCCTGATATGAGTATTTACTGCTATAAATTTCCCTTTTAAGACTGTTTTCCTATGTCCCACAAGTTCTGGTATGTTGTATTCTCATTATCATTCAACTGTAAAAACACTCTAATTTCTTCTTTAATTTTATCTGTGATCCATTGTTTGTTCAGTAGGGTGCTAGTTAATTTCCATATGTTTATGAAGTTCTTGTGGTTTCCTTTGTCATGGATTTCCAATTTCATTGCACTGTGTTTTTTTTTTTTGTGTGTGTGTGTGGTTTTTTTTTTGTCTTTTTCATTTTTATCGGTACCAGGGATCGAACTCATGACCGCCTGCTTGCAAGGCAGGTGCTTATGCCGCTGAGCTAAATCCCCAGCCCCTTCATTGCACTGTGGTCTGATAGTATGCATGGAATAATTTAAATTCCTTTACATTTACTTAAGCATGTTCTTTAAGCCAGTATGTGGTCTATTTTGTGTATTATGTGTAGCTGAGAAGAATGTGTATTCTGATGTTGTGGAATGGAACACTCTATAGACATCTACTGAGTCCATTTGTTCAAAAGTTTGATTTAGTTCTACTATTTCATTATTGATTTTTTGTCTAGTTGATCTGGTTTTTTGTAGCAGTGGGGTATTGAGGTCTCCCAATACAAGTGTATTAAGGCTTATTTGATTTTTCATGCCTTTTAGTAATTGTTTTATATAGTTGGGTTCACTGTGTTGCATATATATTTATAATTGTTACCTCTTCCTCTTGGATTGTTCCTTTTATGAGGATCCCCGGGATGTAGTGACTTTCTTTATCTTTGTTAATCAGCCTTGGGTTGAAATTCACTTTGTCTGCAAATAGAATATCTATCCCTGCTTTTTGGGGAGCCTCCTGTCACATTGGTATTGTTTTCTATCCTTTGACTTTCAGTATATGAATTTATTTTTGAATTAAATGTGTTTCTTGTAGGCAGCATATTGTTGGATCTTGCTTCTTGATCAATTCTGCCAGTCTATGTCTTTGGACTGGTGAATTAAGACCATTAACATTGATGGTTAAAACTGGTATGTACTGACTTATCCTTGTCATGTTATTTTCCTGTTGTTGGCTCTTCTACCTCACACCTTTTATTTCTTCCCTCTAATTGTTTGCCTTCCTTGGTGGATTCCTTCTGTTGGGGCTCATAGAGCTGTAGTTCTTCTTACCTCTTTCTAGAATATCTTTCAGAACATTATGAAGTGCTGGTCTGGGGGGGGGGTCATAAATTTCCTCAGGTGTTCTTTGTCATGGACGTATCTTATTTCTCCATCAATTTTGAAAGATAGTTTTGTGGGATACAGCAATCTGGGTTGAATGTTGTTTTCCTTTATAACTTGGAGTATTTCACTCCAAGCTCTCCTTGACTTGTGAGTTTGTGCTGAGAAGTCAGCTGTGATTCTGATGGGCTTTCCTTTATAGGTGATTTGTTTCTTTTCCCTAACAGCTTTTAAGATTCTATTCTTGTGTTGAATTTCTGGGATCTTGACTATGATATGGCGGGCTGCAGATTTTTTTTGATCATTGCTAATTGGAGTTCTACATGCCCCATTTATTTGTATGTCAAATTGTTTTTCTCTACTAGGAAAGTTTTCTCATGATGTCTGTGAACATTTTTTAATGTCATTTAGGGTATCTCCTGCTTTTTTATTGACTGCAATCAATCTTAAGTTATTCTTCTTTGTCTCCCCTAGCAGCTGTTGGGTTGATTTCTCATGGTTCCTTGCTTTTGAGAAATCTTTCTTTTCTTGGTCACTAACTGCAAGCATGTCTTCAGTATTTCCAATCCTGTCCTCACATTGACCTAATCTACTTTGAATACTTTCAATGGAGTTTTGGTGTGTTGTTTTTTTTTTTTTTTTTTTTTTTTTTTGTCTTTTTCATTTTTATCGGTACCGGGGATTGAACTCATGACCACCTGCAAAGCAGGTGCTTTATGCCACTGAGCTAAATCCCCAGCCCCTTCAATGGAGTTTTTATTCTGGATATCTACTTGAATCTGCTTTATGGATTCCATTTGTTTCCTATGCTACATTTCCATAATTTGCTTAAATTCTATTTTTTTGTCTGTCTGTTCTCACATCACTAAGTATGGTGTGTATTTTGGTAATCTCTGTAGTAGAGAGATTATTTCTGATTTCATTTTTTTCTAGAGTCTCATTTGATTGCTTTGTTGTTATCACTTCAGAGAGACCTGGTGGGAGGCATTTGTATTTTTCTACCTCATTGCCTCCTGCATTTGCCTTTGGTGAACTGTATGTCTGGAGTTGCATCTTATTTAAGTGTCTTCTCATTTCTTTTTTTTTTTTTTTTTTTAGTTTAATTGCTGGGGTGATGTTTGTAGTTATGTGAGTTGCTTTATTGGTGGTATTTAGAATGCATAGGTGATGATTACTTCTCTGAGGTATCTTCCAGGTATAGCTGGTTTTGAGGGTTTAAGCCTGTTGGAAAATCTTACCTTTTCAGTTTGTTGGAGAGGCGAAGGTGTTGCTGTTTGACCTAGTCCCTGGTTCTTTGGCACTGTGCCACCAAATTTTCTGTGACCCTTAGTCTCCATCACAGATTATCAGGGCCAACAGCTGTTTAGAACAATTATGTCAATTTTACTGTAGTGGTACCAATAGCATCAAACACAAACTATAAAAGAACAAACTGAGCTAACCCTTAATTTGCAACTTTTAATCAAATGAAATAGCTTTGTGATTATATAACAAAATGTAAAACAAACCAGATAATTGAATACAGTATGTAAGTTTGTAATGTGTCAATTTTGCCCCCAGGTGTTAAAAATTTAAAGTGGATTAAGGAGAAAATAGAGAAGGGGAAACAAAGAAAGAGATTACAAGTAAAGTTGGAGGACAAAGATGGATCCTGCCAACTTGAGAAAACTGATGCAGAAGACTGAGGGAAAAGATAGATGGAAGAGTTAAAAGGTAGAACAGAACAGAGCTACACCCACAAAAAAGTTAGGAACCACTCTCACACTCATACACAAAGAAAAAAAAGAAAGAAATTTTTAAAAAACTGAATAAAATAAAACAAATGAGAAAAGAAAAAACTCAACAAAACAAAACAGAAAACAGCCCACTTCAGGATTCTGTCTGGGTTCACTAGTAGATAGCCTGTGGAGACAGGGTCTTGAATTGAGCCACTGTATCCCAGCAAGCGAGCCATTGCTTTATGGTGGAGTAGTAGACAACCTTAGCAGGCCTGTTCTGAGACCAGAGCCATTGCTCTTGTTGCAGTCCACACAGTTTCCACAGGTCTGAGCCCAGCTGGACGCTGCTAGAGGAAGCCAGTAGCAGTTCTAGTTCCAAACTTAACTGGCCTGACTCCGAAATGGCTGCTGGCCAATGGCTCTCTACTACGAGAGGACTGAGTCCTCTGCACTCACCACCAGCCCATGCAGTCCTCCATGTCCACTGCTCTCCTCCACTACTGTGTCTTTCTGTAGAGGCTTCTGGAGTCACCAGCCACCACTGTCAGAGTGACAATGTGTTCCCAGGTTTCAACAACTCTTCTCACATAGTGAGACCAGCTCCAGGCAAAGGCGCCACGCGCTACTGCTTCCTTCTTTGTTGAAGTTTTTCTTTTTATTCTTTCTGTGGGCTTTAGCTCACACTTCAGATTCTTCCTGGGTCCAGGGGACCCACTTCCTTCCTTCTTGGCTGCCTCATGATGCTGTATTCCAGCATCTAGACAGTGACTCTCAAGAGAGTCACCATTTCCTCTGCTGCTTACTGGTCTTCCATCTTCTAGATCCCCAGTCTAAGAAGTTAATCTTATTTAATCCTATTTTTTTCAGTGATCCAAACACTGAGTTACCCTTTTGGTGCTTCAGCTTAATGAGGAAAGATAATTCCGGTTAGATCTCTGATTGCGGAACTTGCTCTAAGCTTTTCTCATGTCTGGGTTCTTGTAGCTGTTGGACTAGCGTGCTCAAAAGCACTGAGTTAAGTGAAAGCTGGTCCCTGCCTATCTATCCAGGTTTCAGATTTCATGTTAAAG